GTTTCGGGTTTGGGCTTTGGGGTTTCAAGGTTTAGAGAGCCCAAACGTACTAAAAACTGTAAACCCTCTGTTCACGATCGAGCTGTCTTTCTCAAAGCGAAACTCGAAGGCACGCGGGGTTCGGAGTAATATAGGGCCCTTAAAAATTTGTAAAGATAATAAGGAACCCCCAAAATAATACAGGTACTTATTAAGGGCCCTAGAGTGACCCCGGCCCATCCATGAACCGTTTTCACACCAACATTTCGGAGCTCCAAGCAATCGAGATGCATGTCTCAAAGCCTGCATGCACACGCAAGCCTAAAGGTTGCTCCTTCTCAAACGATCAAATTGACTGCTCCGGCCCCTTTCGAGCGGCTCCTGCCTCCTGGGTTTCGCGCGCAGTCTTTCTCTAGTGGATGGCCTTATCTTTCATGTTTTCATCCAATGATGTCGTCCTTTACGTGCTGTCTGCTCCTCTTTCGAGCGGCTTCGCACAGACTGCAGACAAGGTTGCTTTAGAGTTTTCGGTTGAAAGGTTTGGGGCTTTAGGGACTAACGGGGGGTTGTTGGTTGAGGGGTTGTAGGTCTAGGGTTCGGGACCTAGAACAGCAGAAGCTTCATCGAATGCTCCTGGTGATGATGGTTGTTGATGGTGAGGATGAAAAGGAATCATGAAGCTGCCTTAAGCTTGCATGGCCATGACGGTTGTAGTGTGCGCTTAAGGACGGTATCAGCGGTGATGCTTCTGCTGCTGTTGATGATGGTTCTCAAGGCAAGGTTCAAAACGACGTAGAGAAGATGCAGGGCCCCAAGCCATTCCGTAGCTCTGCCACAGCCCCTACTTAAGACCTGATTTTTGTAGAGTCTACAGGAGGAATTCGGGCTAATTCTGTAAGTATGTCTACGTCTACGTAGCCTGACTGCACCACAAGCAAGAGATTATTCTCCATCCATCCATACATGTGTATGTCTGTATATGCCTCTGTGCGTGTGTGTGTGTGTATACGTATGCATACGTATACCGCTAAACACACGGAACATTCGCTCCAGCGTCTGGCAGACAACTTCCAGATGATCAGTTCCGCCCGACCGCTCAGTTTCAGGCCCTCTTGGCGCAACCGAGCCCACATGGGGAGTTCTCCAAATTAGGGTC